AAAAAAAAATTGGAAAAAACAAAACAAAAACTATAACAATAATCGAAAATAGATTATAAAAATTACGTAATTTACGTAAATCACGTAAATTACGAAAGAAAACATGAGCATGCATATTAGAAGGATTTATTTCACTATTTAATGATAACTGTTAAATGAAATAGATTGTAAAAGATTACGTTAGAAAAACAAAAACATACAGAGTAGAATTGCTTCTTATTTTTTTTTTTTTTTGCAGAGGTGTTTATATTACTATTAATGATAATAGTATCAGCAAGATTCATCATATTCTTAGTAATTGGCCTGAAAAAGATGTTCGGGTAAAATTTTTCAATTTTTTTTTATTTTAAAAATTCAAAATTTTTTGCATAAATGGAAATCCTAATTAATTAATTTTTTGTATAAATAAATTGCTAGTTTTTTTGTAAAATTCATTTTTTTTTTCTTTTAAAATTAAAAATTAAATCAAAAATAAATGAATATCAATGAGTAATTGATCCTTTTTTGAATTAATCGAAATGTGTTATTATTAGTTTATAGGCAATAGTTGTAACGGATGGTGAACGAATCCTTGGATTGGGTGATCTTGGTGCATACGGTATGGGTATTCCGATTGGTAAACTTGCTTTATATGTAGCACTTGGAGGTGTACAACCACATTGGTGTCTTCCGGTATTACTCGATGTTGGTACAAATAAAGAAGTATATATATTTCGATATTAAATTTTAGTATTCATTTTTTTTTCTGATATCATTAATAGTAGTTATCCAATAATAATTTGATGAATTTGAAAATCATAGATGAATTAAAAAAATTTTTTCTGAAAAAATTTTCAGGAACTATTAAAAGATCCATTCTATATTGGATTACGACGAAAACGTGTTCGTGGAAAAGAATACGATTCATTTATTGAAAATTTTATGAAGCATGCGTCAAAAGGTAATTAAGTTAAGCATTATTAATTTTAAATTTATTTAATTATTAATTTGAGATTTATGTTATTGAAAGAATTTGAACAAAGAAAAGAAAAAATTTAAAGGATTCAAATTTTCAACATTATGTTTAACATGTCTTTTTATGTGCACAAAAAAAGCTTATTGTTTATTGTTGAAAGCAGTTCATACGATGGGAAATTAGTCGCATTAATAAAGTTGAAATTTTAATTCTCTTATGGTTTAATTCGAATTTGGGAGGAAGATTATTCGATCCTTCGATCCTTCTTAAATTTAAAATTTTATCAGATATTTTCATCTATTTGTTTTACATTAATCTTTAAAACTTTTATTTTACTGTATCAATCTTTCATAATTTTTTTGTTTCTTTTTTTCTTTTTTTTTTACTTAACAAATTTCAAATTACGAAATTATTATAGATTTGGACAAAAAATATTGATACAATTTGAAGATTTTGCTAATGCAAATGCGTATCGTTTATTGGAACATTTCCGCGATAAATATTGTACATTTAATGATGATATACAAGGTAAAACATTTTGCTATAACAATTATCTTATTGTATTAGCAAATAATTGTTTCAAATAAAATATCATTAATATTATTTATAATGGTGGAATTAGTAAATTAATAGCATCCTTGTTTGAAATAATTATTAGATGATAGAAAATTTACTGGATAATGTTAAAATATTAGCGCTAATTAGTAAATTAATTTTAATTATGAAATTTATTGATGGAATAGATAAATAAATGGATGAATAGATGGATGCTATTTGTTAAGAGATAGAAATGTAACATTCTTTAGAATTTTATTAGTAAAAAAAATGAAATGTACTGCTAAATAATGATATCAAATCATATTCCTTTCCTTTTATTTTGTTTCAATTAAAATTTTTAATGATTAAATTAATACTTCATTGCGATTCAATTTGGCTAACTTCTTTTAGATCGTAAAATTTCATGAAATTAATGAGATTATTTTATTTTATTTTATTTTATTTTTTATTTTATTTTTAGGAACAGCATCCGTTGTTGTTGCCGGCTTATTATCATGCAACAAAATTCTACAGAAGAAAATGTCGGAACAAAGATTTGTATTTCTTGGTGCTGGAGCGGTTTGTAAACTTTCTTAGAATAACAAAAATAAGAAACGGAATTTTACTATTTAATTGTTTTATTTCAGATTTAATTATTTTATTACTATATTGTTATAGAATTTCATTATTTAATTATCATATCATTGTTTTATTGCTTTATTTCATTATTTAATTCCTTCATTTTTTTCTGTTACAAATATTATCATTATTTCTCTATTATAATTTCATTATTTTATCATTTTTTTCATTTATTTAAAATAAAAATTCGTATATTTATAACAATTATTTCCTTTGTTTTTCTTTTCCTTTTTTCTCATTTTTAAAAGATATTAAAAATTTAAAGAAAAAGAAAACAAAGAAGAAAGTTGGATGAATTAGAAATTTAAATTAATAATCTAATTTTATGAATATTTATGAATTCTTTTCTTTTCATTCCCTTTTTCCTTTTTTTTGTTTAATCGTCAAAAAAATCTCAAAAATTCGAAACAAAAAATGACAAATTAAACTAGATGAAAAATCGAATTAGATAAATGAAATACCAAGAAAAATGAAATTATACAAATGAAATTTAATAAAAAATGAAATGAGATGCACAGAAATAAATGAAAAGAAAAGAATCACATAAGTGAAATTTCAAAAATAAATAAAATTAGGTAAGTGAAATTTCGAAAAAAAAAGTAAAATTAGATAAATGAAAAAAAAATTAAATGAAATTAGGCAAAGAAAATAAAAAAAGAAAAAGTGAAATTGCATAAATAAAATTAAAGAAAAAAGAAATTGAAATTAGATAAATGGAATTAAATGAAGAGAAAAATGAAGTTGGATAAGTGAAATTAAATGAAAAAAGTGAAAATTAAATAAATAAAATTAGACAAATAAATAATATCTCCAATAAAAGGAAAAGAATGAAATTAAATAAATGAAATTTTTTGTTAATATAAAAAAAAAGTAGTAAAATAAAATATATAAAAGTTGAAAAGTAAAAAAAAAAGAAAAAAAATTTCAGGCAGCAACAGGTATTGCTGATTTATGTGTTTTGCAAATGCAACATGAAGGTTTAGGAGAGATTGAAGCTCATGAACGAATCTTTTTAATAAATAGTAAAGGTTTAATTACGAAAAATAGCGCAAATTTAAAGGATGAACATAAATTATATGCGAAAAATATGGAAGATATAAAAGATTTGATTGATGTAAGTTTTTTTTTTTTCATTTATTTTTTTTTTTTTATTTTAAAATGATGGAAAAATTAAAGTTAGAAAAAAGAGTGAGTGAGTTACGTCAATCAAAAAAATTGGTGTAAGTTTTTTTTTTTTCTATTTAAGATGATGAAAAAAATTAAAAGTTAGAAAAAAGAGTAGGTAAGTTATTGGTCTTAATATTTGTATTTGCTTATTCTTGTAATATTTTTGCAGGTAATTAAAAAAGTACAACCAACAGGTATAATTGGTGTTTCAACGGTACCAGGTTCATTTTCGAAAGAAGTAATTAAGGAAATGTCAAAGATTAATGAGAAACCAATTATTTTTGCTCTATCAAATCCTACTAATAAATCGGAATGTACTGCTGAAGAAGCATTTACACATACAAATGTTTGTTTTGTTTTGTTTGTTTGTTTGTTTGTTTATTTATTTATTAATTTATTTATTTATTCTCGAAAACTTTTTTCCGATTAACAAAATTTAAAAGTTTTTAAATTTCTTATGAAAAAAAAATGATTGAAGTTCATTTTATTTAAAATTTTTTTGCTAACAAATAATGTTAACAATATATTTATGATGATATTGTTATTAAAATGATAATTGCAGTGGTAATTAGTGATTATAGAAATAGAATTTAATAATTTTATTTTGTATCATTTCCTCATTGATCATTCTTTGTTTTCATTTTTACATAATGTTAAAAATTTCGGATAATTAATCCTGAATTTTAATTTTAGGGTAAGGTACTGTTTGCTAGTGGTAGCCCGTTTCCGGATCTTCGATTAAACGATAAATTATATAAACCGGGTCAAGGTAATAATTCGTATGTATTTCCTGGTGTAGCATTGGGTGTTATATTATTTCAAGTGCGTCATATTGATGATGAATTATTTTTGATTGCTGCTCGGGTAAGTTATAAATTACCTTTTTTTTTTCTCTCTCTCTTTTCATTTACTCCTAATCCTTAATTAGATCATTATTATTACTGAAGTTGAGTGTTAATTAATGAAATTTGGGAGGAATAAGACGTACTGTCGAAATTTTATTTTTATTATTATTTTTTTTTTCTTTTTTTTTTTTTTTTNTTTTTTTTTGATTAATGAG